GACGCAGCAAAGCAATACATCATCGCTTGCTTACTTTGCAAGCAAGCTAGCACATCGATGTACCACGCAAGAGAAAGCCGACTGGACGTTTCGGAGGCTCTTCCGGGCCGTCCCAGGGCCTTCCTGGGCCGTCTTGGGAAACTGGGGCCCCCCAGAAGTCTTCTGAATACATCTAGGGTCCTTTTGGTGCCTCCAATGGCCTTCTTCGGGGTTTCCCATGGCTTTCGTGGGTCTTGGGGGCATCTTGGGCTTTTCGTGGGCAGTTTCGGGGCTCTCTGGGGCAATGTTGGGGCCATCTTGGGCCGTCTTCAAACCCTCTGGGGGGGCCCTTCCGTAGCCCGTCTTGGGGCGATATCGGAGGCCCATGGGGCCGTCGTGGACGCTGCGAAGACCCAGAAAGCGGATGTGCTACAAATAAATGCTTGCGGCCGGGAATGGGACGATGTCTGCTGCTTCGGATCGAGTTTCACGAGTGCGCGTGTCCAGCTCCGGTGCAATCCGAAACTGCCCAACACGCCCTGGAGTTCGCTCGGAGACGGCCCAGGAAACGTCCAACGCTGCCCGAAAACAACCCCAAAAGGGCCCCCAGACTTCCCACGCAGCCGCCAACCAGCCCCTCAGACCCGCCCAACACGATCAAGGGAAACCCTTTTTGCCAAAATGGCGACCCAAGACGCCCAAGGCAGCCTCCAGACAGAGCGACGGGCGGCGACGAGGCGGCGGCGGGGCGGCGACGGCGACTACATAGCCGCCAGGCCGACCGTCAGGCCCAGACGACGGGCGGCGACGAGACGGCGACGGGGTCGGCTACGGTGACCTACTACGTAGCCGCCAGACCGACTGTCAGGCCGAGTTCCTCAGAACAGCAGTGAGAGCCCATAAGTGAAAGCACTGTTTGGGGAATCGGTACATACACATATATACATATATATATATATATATATATATATATATATATATAAATATTTACATACATACATACGCATGCATGCATTGCATACATATGTAGATATACGTATGTTGTCTGAGGTACATGGCGCCGAACAAGTGTTCAATGCCGCTGGCCCACGCTGCCAGATGGCCCACGTTCGCGGCGAAACGTGGCGCTATCATTCTTCCGGTGGAATCTAGCAGTGTTTTGTAGTCGCCTCCATCTCGATTCCTCTTGCGCCTCTCTTGTATGCACCTTCACCAATTGCCCTCCGCCCGCTTCGCCTGTTCCTCCCCCCCCCCTCCACAATTTCTCAATATGAATACTACTCTCCCTCTTCCCTTGATGACGGCCTGAAAGTGTCCGACCCCTTCCCCCCGCGTATTTTTTTACACACAGGTTTCCCCGGAGTTGGGTTTTCGCTTGTATTTGTTTCCAAAATGTTGCTCTCGCTGAGGCGCCCGCCTCATTTTCGGGCCCCGCTCGTTCCGCATCGTACTCCCGCTGCAGCGCTGGCCTCATTTCCGTGCTTCCGCTCGTTCCGAATCGCGCTCCCGTTGCAGCGCTGGCCTCATTTCCGCGCTTCCGCTCGTTTCGATTCGTGCTCCCGCTGCAGCGCTGGCGTCATTTCCCGTGCCATGCCACGGCATGCAATGCAATGCTAGGCTGCTAGGTTGATACTACGCTTTGCGGTGCTCGTCTACGCCATGCCATGCCGTGCTCTACAATGCATCGCGTACCCTTTCGGGATCATTGCCCTGCTCGACATCCGACTGTGCAAGTAGAGAGGGGATCTGCGCCATGGTAAGGGATGGGAGGGAGGGGTAGGATGTCAGATATGACGCGAGCGCACCTAGCTTGTCCTCCCCCCTCTCCTCCTTCCCTCCCTTCCTCTCACCCCCCTCCTCCCTCTTCCGCCTCACCCTCCCGTCCCTCCCCTCTTCACCGTCCCCATTCCGCATCGACGCAGACTGCGGCGCGGAGCCCCTGCCTCCACGATGCGACCCTTCCCCCACCTGGCTCACCTCGCCTATCTTCGTCTTCCTGGCGGATGCCAGCGTTGTCTCCTCTCATCTCTCATGCGTGTTCTCTTGGCCGCGTATTCCACACACACCCTCTCTCTCTCTCTCTCTCTTTCTCTCTCCCTCTCTCCCTTTCTACTTATACATACCGCTAAATGTTCTATATATATATGTTATATATATGTATGTGTATATATATACATATATATACATATTATAAATATGTGTGTATGTCTCTCTCTCTCTATTTCCCGTTGTCTTTCTCTATGATGTGTGTTGTGTGTTGTTTGTCTCTCTCTCTGTCTTTTTCTTTCTCTGTCACATGCCACTACGTTTTTGCTCCCCGTGGCCCCCGAAATCTTTATCGTCCTTCTACTGTTCCTCCTTGTTATTATATTCCTCTTTCTGGAGAGGCCTTGCCGCCTTGTTCGCCGACCCTGAAGGGCGTGCAGGAGGGCCCCGGAATGCCGCAGGCCGACGATTATCCACCGGTCATTAAAAGTAGGCATTTCTGGATTCCCAGATTCCAGTCTACCTTGGGCGCCTTCCTATTTCAAGGGTCGAGCGACTTTCCTTTCTCCTTTCGCCTTCAGGGGGCGGTCGGAAGCCCAGTCTCCTTCCAACGCCTTCCTGCTTCCTGCCCCCCTGCGCTTCCTACTTCCTCCCTTCCTTCCTACTTCCTACTTCCTTCCTTCCTTCCTACTTCCTACTTCCTTCCTTCCTTCCTTCCTTCCTATTCCCTTCCTCCTACTTCCTACTTCCTCCGCTCCCGCGCGCGAGGCGCCGCCCCTCCCCTACCCCCCCCCGCTGCGCAGGCCACGAGGTGCAGTACATCAACGTGGACGGCCAGACCGGCTACGCGACGACGGAGCAGGAGGGAGGGCGCAGGGGGTCCCAGCGCGGGCCCGAGAACTCACGGATCTCCTGCGCGAGCGAAATGGGCACGGAAAGAGTGGGTACTCCAGATTTCGTAATAAAAGGGAGGGGGTCTGGACCCTCCAAGACAGGCCATTTTAGACCCCCCCCCCCGTGGGAGAACCCTCCAAAACATCGTACCCAGACCCCCCCAGGCCCTCCAAGATAGCCTGGAAGAGACCCCCCCCGGAATGAGACCCCCTCCCTTTTATTACGAAATCTGGAGTACGGAAAGAGTGGGTACAATGCCCAACAGCAGTTCCCGTTCATTTCGAACCGGACTCGCTGTCCGCGCCGCCGCGGCCTGTGCCCATTGGAGACAGAAGGCCACCTGCCCAGCAGCGGCCGCTGTTGGTTGGGGACAACATTTGTTTGGTGGGCAATGCACACATGTTTTCCGTACCCATTTCGGGCGTCCAAATCCATAAAGTGTACGTTGATGCAGTTTCGTAGGATTGGTCTTCTACGACCGCATCCTGCTATCCTGATTATTATCGTACTTTGTTTCTTTGTCTTGCCGATATTTTCCTGGTCTAGTAACGCAAAACAGTTTCGTAGGATTGGTCTTCTGCGACCGCATCTTGCAGTCCTGATTAGTCTCCTGCTCTGCTTCTTTTCCTTGTCGATCTTGTCTAATTCCAGTAACGGTGGTCATGAGGTGTCACCGCCGCCCGTCGCCGTCTTGGCACAACCACCTGCGTGGCGCGCCGGCAGCCTTTTGGCGGCCACGGCGGGCGTCGCAAGCCGCGATGCCGCCGGTTGCTGCCTGAGCGGTGCTGTTCGGGCGGGTGGCAATGTCAGGAGGGAGAAAAAAACACAGCCACAATTAATCCTCGATTCCCTAGAAAGGATAGGAAAATATGGGAACTGGGGGGGGGGAGACAAAAACCCAGAAAATACATGGTAATATAGAAATCTGTTTATTTGTGTGTATTTATTTGTGTGTCCCAGGGCCCCGTCATAATGGGAGATGGCCCAAATTGGGGGTGAAGAAGAGGACCCTACAGAGGCCCTTCAGGGTCTTTTCAGGGCCCTATTCTGCACCCCACATGTGGGTCACCCCCCATTGCAGCCCGCCCGAGCTGTGGGGGGCACAGTGTCGGGCGGATGGGGCTCCAGCAGCGCATGCATCGGCGATGGGCGCATCGCTGGGTGGCGGCGACGAGCCCGAGAGGCCGAAGCCCAGCGCAAAACCAGGCGGACCGGTGACGCTTCACGTGTACGACATGAATCGGGAGAAGGTCGCCACGGGGGCAGCGGGTCCCGAGGGCAACGCGTTCTAAGGTGTTTCGCAGTTTTTAGGCTCTGGGGGGCCCTCCACAGGCCCAGGGACTGTCAAGAGAGCGACTCGGGATGAAGAGGTCGTCCTGCAGGAGGGCCCCGGGTTCCAGGATCCGTTTCCCTCAGGACCTGTCTCCTCCGTGCCAAGAAGGGCGTGCGGTTTGTGAACAACGTGTTCCAGAAAGTTGGGACTGGAGCGTTCCACGCTGGCGTCGAAGTATTGGGCCTCGAGTTCAGCTTCAGCACGAGTGGGGTTTTCCACTGCCTGCCGAGCCAGAATCCGCTGCACACATACCGGGAAGCTGTGGCTTTGGGCGTGACCCCTCTGACCGCACCTGAGGTGAGGGAGGTTGTCATAAAGCTCCGCGACGAGTGGGCGGGCGAGCAGTACGACATCCTGACCCGAAATTGTTGCCACTTCTCGGCCGAGTTTTCCCAGGAGCCACATCTATCCCGCGGCAAGAGCGGACAGCCCCCCCTGTAAGTTCTATGTTTGTATTGCAACCGCTCCTCTCAGACCCTTTTTGGGTCGTCGTGGGAGCCTCGTGGTACGTCTTTGGGCCTAGTGGGATCGTCTTGGGTCCTTCTCGGGCCCTCTTGGAGGCATTTGAGCCATCTTTGGGCGCCGCGGGGTCTTGGAGGCATCTTTTGGCCGTCTTGGAGGCCATCGCGGCCGCCTTGGAACCAGATCTGGGCATGGGAGTCTCTCCAAGCGGCCGGCGGGGCGGGATTGGCCGAGACCCCATTCAGGAATTCAAGACATGTAAGAATTTAACCTTCCTGGCCGCGCTGTCATCCTCGGCCGTTTTCACCAACCTAGTTGCTTCAACCCGCCTGGCCATTGTAACCCACCCGGCCCTTTCAACCCGCCTGGCTGTTTTCACCCGCCTGGCAATTGTAACCCGCCTGGTCGTTGAGATCCTTTCGTCCCCGTGAATCCACCTGGCTGTTTTGACCCGCCTGGCCATTCCAACCGCCTGGCCGCGTTGGCATCCTCGGCCGTGTTTGCCCGTCTGGCCGTTTTCAATGGCCTGGCCGTTTTAGCCCGCCTGGCCGCTAGAACCGGCCTGGTCGTTTTTAACCCGCCTGGCCGTTTGAATTCGTCTGTTCATTTCAACCCGTCTCGCCGTTTGAACCCGCCTGGTCGTTGTAACCCCGCCTGGCTGCGATTCCAAGACAACGTCGGCACCATCTCAGTCGTGAGAGAATGTCCTTAGTGAAATCTTCACGTTGGGCAAGAGGCAAGAGCGACACCACGACGATGTCGACAACATCTCGTTGTTTGAAGATGCCTGGGCGAAACCGCCATGTTGGGCAAGAGCGAGATCAAGACGACGTCGACTACGTCTCATTGTTGTGAAGATTCCCTGAGCGAGATCACGAGATGGAAAAGAGCGAAATCGACAACATCTAAGTTGTGTGAGGATGTCCCTCGCAAAATCGCCATTGCGGTCAGTACTGAGACCAAGACAACGTCGACTACACCTAATTTGTGTGAGAATGTCCCTGGCGAAATCGCCATTGTGGGCAAGAGCGACGTCGACAACACCTCACTTGCGTGAGGAAGTCTTGTTGGGCTATGTTGGGTCGTCTTGGGGCCTTCCGAGAGCGATCCCAAGACATATATGTTTTGAGGACGTCCAAAGCGAGCTCACCCTTTTGGCTACTAGATCCTGGGGCAATGGTTGCCAACCCCCATCAACCTCCCCCCAGGTTATTATTAATATATATCTAATATATATATATATATATATATATATATATATATATATATGGTCGATCCCCCCCCCCAGCGACCCCCCAGAGCGCCCAAAGCACGAATACACAACTCAACTTTGGCCTGCCATCCAGGCTGACGAACTCATCCGCTCGGCCCATCCGTCACGGGCACCGTGCGCGCAAGCATATCGGTTTCGGCCGAGGCCACGAAACACTGTGTATCACAGGTTTTTCGTTTTTCTGGTCTGGGAACCAACGAAACACTGCGTATCACATGTTTTTCTGGTTTTTCTGGTTTCTGGAGCTGAAATGCTCGCCGCGGCCTCGCCCCACCGCCCCCCCCTCCTGTTTGTCGGCACCTGAAAACCAGAAAACCAGAAAAACATGTGATACACAGTGTTTCGTGGCCTCCGAGCAAGAAAACACTATGTATCACAGGTTTTTCTGGTTTTTCTGGTCTGGGAACCAACGAAACATTGTGTATCACAGGTTTTTTTTGTTTTTCTGGTTTCTGGAGCTGAAATGCTCGCCGCGGCCTCGCCCCACCGCACCCCCCTCCTGTTTGTCGGCACCTGAAAACCAGAAAAACCAGAAAAACATGTGATACACAATGTTTCGTTGGTTCCCCGACCAGGAAAACCAGAAAAACATGTGATACACAGTGTTTCGTGGCCTCCGAGCAAGAAAACACTGTGTACTCTTCGGGGAGGAGAAGCAGGAGGCGAGGGGGGAGATGGAAGAGGAGGGGGAGGATGAGGGAGAGTAAGATGAGGAGGAATACTTCTCGGGTCACAGCCCGCTGTGACAGACCATGTGTCTGCGGCTGTTCGGTGCCAGCATCTCAAGACCGCGGCTTCGTGTTTTGTGTGTTTTGGGGGGTCGTTGGGGTTTTCAGGCGCCGACAAACAGGAGGGGGGGGCGGTGGGGCGAGGCCGCGGCGAGCATTTCAGCTCCAGAAGCCAGAAAAACCAGAAAAACCTGTGATACGCAATGTTTCGTTGGTTCCCAGACCAGAAAACCAGAAAAAAAACATATGATACACAGTGTTTCGTGGCCTCCGAGCAAGAAAACACTGTGTATCACATGTTTTTCTGGTTTTTCTGGTCTGGGAACCAACGAAACATTGTGTATCACACGTTTTTCTCGTTTTTCTGGTTTCTGAAGCTGAAATGCTCGCCGCGGCCTCGCCCCACCGCACCCCCCCCTCCTGTTTGTCGGCACCTGAAAACCAGAAAAACCAGAAAAACGTGTGATACACAATGTTTCGTTGGTTCCCAGACCAGAAAAAAAACAGAAAAAACATGTGATACACAGTGTTTCGTTGCCTCCGAGCAAGAAAACACTGTGTACTCTTCGGGGAGGAGAAGCAGGAGGCGAGGGGGGAGATGGAAGAGGAGGGGGAGGATGAGGGAGAGTAAGATGAGGAGGGATACTTCTCGAGTCACAGCCCGCTGTGACAGACCATGTGTCTGCGGCTGTTCGGTGCCAGCATCTCAAGACCGCGGCTTCGTGTTTTGGGCGTTTTGGGGGGTCGCGGGGGGGGGGGCCGAGCATGTATATGTATAGTTGTCCCGACTAACGGATCGAACGTTATGCGCGCTTGCCGTCACCCGCCGCTCCCTGTGTGTTTCACAAGGGCGCACGGTGTTCTAAAATGTCGTATTGGTTTGGCCATGCCGATGAAATCAGTCACGCGGTCGTAGTGACCATGCGGTTTGAAGCGGACATTCTTGTCAAAACGGCCAGGCGGGTCCAAAGGCCCAGGCAGGTTGAAGCGGCCAGGCGGGTTGAAATCGCCAGGCGGGTTAGAGCGGCAGCGCCGTGGACATCCTTGAAGAATTGATCGTGTCTTATATCGTCTTAGAATAGTTTAAGGATGTGTCTTATATCGTCCTATATATATGTCCTTGAAGACATCCCACTTAGAATAGTTTAAAGGATGCATAGTTTAAAGGATGTGTCTTACATCGTCTTACAATATCTCTTGAAAGGGCCTCCAGACGGCTCAAGACGGCCCGAAGACAGCCCGAGAGTCTCCTGAGACGGCCAAAGAGTGCCCCAAGACTCCCCAAGGATGCGACAAGGGCAAGGGGAAGAGAGCACGTCAGAGTAGGAAGAACGGACAAGCCTGCGACCTCGCGCCATCAAAAAGTAAGTTGTGTTTCCCGTCCCCGTGCTAAGCAGGCCTAGTTGCTTCAACCCATTCCGCCACCGCGCCTGGGTTCTAGGTCTGGGATGCCTGCTGGCATCTCCTGCGGGACCTCTCGGAAGCCTCTTGGATGCAGCTTCGGGGTGTCTCGGGGCCTCCGTCGGGTCTCTCGAGGACTCCTGGGGCTCCTTTGGGCCTGCTGGCGACCTCGAGGGCTCTCTTGGGGCGGGAGACTCGACATGTCAGCTCGTGTCCCCCGGAGTTGGCATGCGGGCGTTGCTTGACCCTGCACGAGGGGGAGGAGGGGGAGCAGGTGGAGGGGGGGAGGAGGAGGAGGGGAGGAGGGGGAGGAGAAGGAGGAGGAGGAGGAGGAGAGGAGGAAGGAAAGTACGGAGGAGGAGGATAGGAGGAGGAGGAGGAGGAGGAGGAGGAGCAGCAGGAGGAGGAGGAGGAGGAGGAGGAGGGAGGAGGAGGAGAGAACGAAGAGGAGGGAAGGAGGAGGAGGAGGGGAAGAGGAGGAGGAGGAGGAGGAGGAGAGGGAGGAGGAGGAGAGGGAGTGCGGAGACGGGAGGCAGGGCCTCACCGAGGGGACGCCGTGCCTCCCGGGCCCTATGGGCGGGGGAGAGGCCGGCGAGGGCAAATCCTCGTGCCCTCCTTCGCCCGGTGCCTGCCCCGCGCCATGCCCACAGTCGCGGCTGGCCTTAAGTAGGGAGGAGGAGGAGGAGGAGGGAGGAGGAGGAGGAGGAGGAGGAGGTGGAGGAGGAGGAGGAGGAGGAATATTCAAAAATAGTCCAACAAATCGCAGGGGGGGATTCTCTGGGACCTCTTCGAGTAGGTGTGGACTTTTCTGCTTGTCTTGTGTACACTTGTCGCTCAAAGTCCGGTTGTAATTCGGGGGACATGCCCGACCGAAAGCTAACTGTGCCCGCCGCCCTGTTGCCGCTGGGGCGATCGTGAGGCCCCCCTGGGCCGTCTTAGATCAGGCGATCGCAAACATGGATCAAGGGGGCTTGGATTAGCGACGGGGCCCGTTTCCATGGGACATCGCGGATTTCCGCCGCCGAGCGGCACTGGCCGCATTTTGGGGAGCGCCAAATGGATCGCTAATCCATGTTCGCGCGACCCCGACACAGGGAGCCGGAAGAGGCGATAACGGTACAAATTATGAAACGCTTGAGGGGAATACATGATTTGGGATCGTCGTGGCCTTCTCCGGGGGGGTCTCTTGGAGCCCTCTTGGGAGGTCTCGAGGGCATGTTGTGCCGTCTCGAGGCCATTTTGGGCGACTTGAGGCGATCGTTGGGTGATTCGGGACCGTCTTGGGGGCCTCTTGGGGCCCTCCTGGCCAGTCTGGGGGCCCTCTGGCTTCTGAAAAAATCACGGGGGCCCCCAGACCTGGCGCCCAGGAGATCCAGAATTCAAATGTGTGGGCCCCTTGAATGATATTCACAGTGTTCAATGCACAGATCTCCAGGAAACCTTTGGACATTCCACTTCGTGTATCGAGGAACGGAGGCAGGTGTACCCGTACGTGTATGATGTGCGTGGGCAAATGTATATTATCTGCATATATATATATACACATGTATACACATACGTACATACATACGCACACATACATACACAATTGCATACATACATGCATACATACGTACAAACGTTCACTTGCACACACACACACACATATGTATACATGCACCTCTATATACATGCATGCATACATACATGCACACGTGCATACCTACATATATACAGACAGACAGACAGACAGGCAGAGAGACACACGTGCATACATGCATTCCTACACGTGTGCATACATGCACAAATGCATACATGCATACATGCATAGATACGCACATGCGCACAGACATACACCTATATGCACATATACACTTGCACACATGCATTCGCACATACCTACATACATGCATACATGCATGCCTGTATGCGCACATCCATACATAGAGACATACGGGCATACGTATATACATACACACGTACGTGCAGGCATACGCACAGTCATGCATACATGCATGCAGGCATGCATACACTCATATCTAGGTACAAACATACACGCATATAACCGTACAACCATACACGCATACAAGCATACATACATGCCCACATACAACCATACATGCATGCATACATACAGACATACATACACATACATGCATGCATGCACACATATCTGTTACATACTTGTGTATGTGTAAGCATATATGTATATGCACATGTAGGAGTAGGCCGCGGGTGGGCCTGGGACCGCAGCCTGGATACACATGGCCGCTCCTAGCTCATTTGATGGGGGTTAGTGGATGTGGGCCTCCCGTGTACCAATTTCGAGCTCTCTCACGCTACTACCCATTCCACCTGAGTTCTGAAGGTCAGGACCCCTAGTAGATGTTCGATTTCTGTTGACGATGTGGCCGTGAAGTCTCTCGGCACCCTCAGATGCTGGCATAAGCGCGTTGCAGAATCTTGCGCAAGAGCAGTTTGGTGAAGAGCGCGCAGGCGAAGAAGGTTTCTGCCATCTGTCCGTCGTCCTTCCCTCCAGGCAGCCAAGAGAGAAACCCTGACACCACACGCACATGCACACACACACGTATATATACATATACATGTGCACAACTATATATATATATAGATACACATATACATATCTACATATCTACATACACCAATTCATATATGTATACATGCACGCATGTATGTCCTTATGTCTGTCTATATGTGTATGTGTGCATGCATGCATGTATGTATGTGTGTACGTATGTATACATGCATGCATGTACGCATATATGAGTGCATATATGATGTATGCGCGTATGCACGTGTATGTGTATACACATGTACTTTTATGTTGGCGCGTGTTACGCCATCCCCATATGTGCGCACGTAATCCCCTTATCCTCTTCCTCCTCCTCTTCCCTCCTCTACCGTGAGCCAGGAGCTCGGGGTGGATCCAGTGCCCGGCTGGGTCACCCATCTGGCAGGCGCCGGGGCAGCGGCGTTGGAGGGCCTGGAGGCGAGAGTCCTTGAGGTGGGTGCCAGCGCAGCGGCCCTGGAGGCCTTCAGCGTGCAGGAGGTCGATCTTGACGCCGAACTTGTGAAGGCGCAGGCTTTCATCCTCCTCCTCTTCCTCCTCCCTCATCGTCTACATCTCTCGTTCTCCACTTTTCTTCGCCTCCCCCCTCTTCCGCCGCATCCTCCTCCTCCCAGTTTCTTTTCCACCACTTCTCCGCCCAGAACTCCCAGACTCGATCTTTCTCCCTCCGCCCTTCGTCCTCTTCCCCCCTCCTCTCTCCTATCCACATGTTTGTTTCGTTTCGTAGCTCAGGGAGGCTTCGGGCCCGACAGTCCTTTGCCTCGCCTCCTCCCTCCTCAATGCCCTGGGATCCGACGTTGCGAAACAAATGCGACACCGCGATGAGTCACGACTGCAGAGAAGGACCCAACCCTGCTGGGGCACGTCTCGAACCGCATCGCTCCGCGATCGCCCCCCGCGGCCCGAGACTGGGCGAAAGCTCCTGGTGTGGAAAAGTTGCAACGCCCGGATGTCGGGGCTTCGGGCAGTGAGAGAGCGCCCACCCAGCGACACGTGGATTGAGGGAATCGGCAGCGATTCGATCGACAGTGGCAGTCGAGTGTGCCGGTGCAGTCTCCAGTCGGTTTCGCCCATGGACGCGCGTTTCGCCCGACGCATGCGGCTGTTTTTGGACGTTGCAGAGCTGCCCCGCTGGGGCCCACTGGGAATGCGGTGCCGTGCGCACGCGGAGTGCCCCCGGAAGGTTTCTCTCAAGGGCGTTGTGCTAAAGGGTGTCCTGTCGATCTTCGGGGGTTCCTCTCCCCCTCCCTCCCCTCCATCCCTCCTCCCGCCCCTCCCTCCTCCCTCCACAATTACTCAATATGAATACTACTCTCCCTCTTCCCTTGATGACGGTTTGAAAGTGTCCGACCCCCCCCGCGTACTTTTTTTTTACACATAGGTTTCCCCGGAGTTGGGTTTTTCGCCTGCATTTTTGTTCAAAATGCTGCTCTCGCTGAGGCGCCGGCCTCATTTTCGGGCCCCGCTCGTTCCGAATCGTGCTCCCGCTGCAGCGCTGGCCTCATTTCCGTGCTTCCGCTCGTTCCGAATCGTGCTCCCGCTGCAGCGCTGGCCTCATTTCCGCGCTTCCGCTCGTTTCGACTCGTGCTCCCGCTGCAGCGTTGGCGTCATTTCCCGTGCCATGCCACGGCGTGCACTGCAATGCCAGGTTTCCCCGGAGTTGGGTTTTCGAATGCATTTTTTTTCAAAATGCTGCGCTCGCTGAGGCGCCGGCCTCATTTTCGGGCCCCGCTCGTTCCGAATCGTGCTCCCGCTGCAGCGCTGGCCTCATTTCCGTGCTTCCGCTCGTTCCGAATCGTGCTCCCGCTGCAGCGTTGGCCTGATTTCCGCGCTTCCGCTCGTTCCGAATCGTGCTCCCGCTGCAGCGCTGGCCTCATTTCCGCGCTTCCGCTCGTTTCGACTCGTGCTCCCGCTGCAGCGCTGGCGTCATTTTCCGTGCCATGCCACGGCGTGCACTGCAATGCTAGGTTTCCCCGGAGTTGGGTTTTCGAATGCATTTTTTTCAAAATGCTGCGCTCGCTGAGGCGCCGGCCTCATTTTCGGGCCCCGCTCGTTCCGAATCGTGCTCCCGCTGCAGCGCTGGCCTCATTTCCGTGCTTCCGCTCGTTCCGAATCGTGCTCCCGCTGCAGCGCTGGCCTGATTTCCGCGCTTCCGCTCGTTTCGACTCGTGCTTCCGCTGCAGCGCTGGCGTCATTTCCCGTGCCCTGCCACGGCGTGCAATGCAATACTAGGTTGCGTTCCCTTGCGCGATGCCATGCCGTCAGCTGAAGCTGTGAAATGCAGTGCTTAAGTGCCACGTCGTGCTATGCCATGCTACGCTTTGATCTTCAACGCCATGCTATGCAATGTTATGTTCGGGGCCGCTGTGCGATGCCATGCTTTGCGTAGCAAATCTTTGTGATGCAATTATTCACTACGCCACGCCACGCCATGCTGTGACATACTACGCTTTGCAGTGCTCTTCTACGCCATGCCATGCCGTGCTCTACAATGCATCGCGTACCCTTTCGGGATCATTGCCATGCTCGACATCCGACTGGGCGAGTAGAGAGGGGATCTGAGCCATGGTAAGGGATGGGAGGGAGGGGTAGGATGTCAGATATGACGCGAGCGCACCTAGCTTGTCCCTCCCCCTCTCCTTCCCCCCCCTCCTTCAACCCTCCTCCCTCCTCCCTTCCCCCCCTCCCTCCTCCTCTTCCTTCATAATTACTCAATATGAAAATACTCTCCCTCTTCCCCTGATGGCGTCCGGGTGATGGCCGCGCACCCTCCGCGTACTGTTTTTGTACACACAGGATGCCCGGGAAATCCCGGGAAACGACTCTCGCTGCGGCGCCGGCGTCATTTTTTCCCCAAATGCTGCTCTCGTTGAGGCGCCGGCCTCCTTTCTGCTCCCGAATCGTTCCGAATCGTGCTCCCGCTGCAGCGTGGGCCTCATTTTCGGATCGGTGTTTGGCCTCCGTCGTTCAGGATGGCGTTCTCGCCCCAGCGCGGGCCTCTTTCTCGCGCGCCCATCCGCCCGCCACCACCGCGCCGCACCACCACCACCATCACCACCACCACCACACACCCAACCACCACCAGCACCAGCAACATACCAACACCACCACCACCACCCACCACCACCAGCCACCACACCCCACCACCACCACCACCACCACCACCACCACCACCACACACCACCACCACCACCACCACCACCACACACACACGCACGCACGCACGCACGCACCACCACCCACTACGCACGCGCGCGCGGAGCCACAGGTCCGCTACGACACGCGTCCGCGGATAGAGAAAATCAGCGCCATGGTAAGGGATGGGAGGGAGGGGTAGGACGTCAGATATGACGCGAGCGCACCTAGCTTGCCTCCCCCTCCCTCTCCTCCCTCCCTCCTCCCTTCCCCCCACTGGAGTGAGGGGCATCCCCCTCTTGGAGCTTGGCCCAGGGACCCCCCCGGGGGGGCCCTCCGTCACAGCTGTGGCCCTGACGCTGTCTTTTTTGTGCGGGTCTGTGAGGCTAGTGCTTCAAGGGCTCCCACGAGGGCGCGAAGTTATTCGCGCTTCGCGGTCCTCGTTCCTCCTCCTCGTCCTCCTTTTCTCCCTTCGGGGGGGCGGCGCGAGGGCGCGAAGTTATTCGCGCTTCGCGCTTCGCGCAGCGCGAAGCGCGAAGTTGGGAGCCCTTGGTGCTTGGGCGGGGGCTCAAGCAGCATAAGTGAGCAGTGGACGCACGTGCTTTTCGTAACCTGCACAGCCATAAGTGGAACGAACAATGGCATAAACATAACAACTCTGAGTTCCGCGCGGATTTCTCGCGTCGGCGCTGGACCCCCCTGGCGACGCCTGGCGACGCCTCCGGCGCCGCCCGTGACGCGCTCCGCGCGCCAGGGAGAAGAAATCCGCGCGGACCTCCGAGTTGTTATGTTTATGCCATTGTTTGTCCCCCGAGGAAGTGGGCAGTGGATCCACGTGCTCTTTGCAACTTGTGCAGTCAACCTGCATAGTAAGGATGGGCAACCCTCCCAAGGGTATACCCTTGCATCCCTGCCTCCTCAGTCCATCCTTGGCCACGTTCGTTGGCCATGCCCCTCTCGCGGAGCGTCGCCATGGCCTTCCTAGGCCCCTGCGTTATAATGTTCAAAGCTACTTTAGCTTGAATCGCCAGAAAGATATTCGAGCACCAGGAAAGTACCGAAACTCTAGGGTGTTCACGCTCCGGGCCCTGGGAGACATTCGTTCGGCATTGTTTCGACACTTTTCCGGGTGCTCGACATGATTTCTGGGATGCGGTCCTGAAGTACAGTCGGGGCGTTGAAGAAGGAACTCTTTTCGTTGGGGAGGGGCTCGGTGTTCCTTGATAGTCTTACGGTTTGCCTCGGGTTATCCTGAGGTCTTCTATGGGGAATCGAAGTTTAACTAATGGGAAAAAAGGGCCTCGTTCCTTATTTAGGGTTCCTCAGGTCAACGCCCCGACTGTACCATGGGATACACTCATTCGACACTTGTTCGACACTTTTCCGGGTGCTCGACATGATTTCTGGGATGCGGTCCTGAAGTACCATGGGAGCAACACATCAAGGGAGGAAAAAAAACACCTGGACCGGACAGCTGGCGTTTACCGAGCGGCCCTGGGCGTCTTCTGAACAGCCCTGCCCTGCTTGATTCCTCCCTTGGGTGCATTTACTGAACGGCTTCGCGTGTCGGGGTGGCTCTTATCTCACCACCCACCAAACCACCCCAACCCAACCCGAAGGCTCAGATTTACCCTCGATTTCCAGTGGGGGGGGGGTCGGGAAACATCGAAAAAACACGTGTGGAACCCTTACCCCCCCCAACCCGAAATTCGGGTCTTCGGGTTGGGTTGGGGTGGTCTGGTAGGTAGTCATTATCGGGGTGGATTTTCTGCCCTTGAACATAACCCGTGCGCTCTCAGCGCGCAGCCCCTACTGCGCGGGCTGGCAGCGCCTCGCCGCGCCTCCCTCCCGGAGGCCTGGTGCTCGCGCCTCGCGGCGGGCGCCGCGGGCCCCGCGGAGAGGCTGGCGGAAGCGGCGCAGAGGCCCCGCGGACTCTGCGCGCGTGCCCGCCAGCCCGGGCTGAAGATCGGGCACGCCCCTCTGAGGGTTATGGCTTTCTCCTCCTCCTCCTCCTCCTCCTCCTCCTCCTCCTCCTCCTCCTCCTCTTCGCTCCTCCTCCTCCTGCTCCTCCTCCTCCTCTTCGCTCCTCCTCCTCCTCTTCCTCCTCGCTCCTCTTCCTCCTCCTCTTCCTCCTCCTCGTATTGCCCCTGGCCTTGCCTTATGATGTTCCAACCTACTTTAGCCTAGACTGCCAGGAATAATTTCGAGCGCCCCCAAAAAGTACCGAAACTCCAGGGTGTTCACGTGTCGGGTCCCGGGAGACACTCTCACGGCAACGTGTCGACTTTGTTTCGGCGCTCTTCGGACATTTTCCCGGGTGCTCAAATTATTTCTGGGATGCGGCCCTTAAGTAGGATGGGAACAACATAATTCGAGGGGGAAGCAATCAACAAATAGTCTGGGGGCCATTCTTCTATTGCTTGTTGTTCTACTTTTGACATCTCCCTGTACAGGGGGAGTAGGCAAGCAAAAGTAGTAAGACAAAAAGTCTGAGGACTGTTTTCATACCATGTTTCAATACTTTGGGGTGTTGTTATCCCCACGCGTTTCTGCCAACATCCGCCTGCAGGAGGACATGCCCGACCTAAATCTGGTCGTCGTTTTCTCTCCCCCCCCTCCCAGGGAGGGGGGGATTTCGAGCGTTCGAGGCTTTTGCCGACGTTTTCGTTGGTTCTTGGCGGTGCTCCATCCTCAGGGGGCGTCTCGGCAGCTGCTCCTCGCCGGGGGCGTTCGGGGGTGACCGGCCTGCCCCGAAGGGCCGCCGGAGGCCCGAGTTGTGGTCCGGAAGTTGAGTGGCCTAAGAGGGGGAGGAGGAGGAGGAGGAGGAGGAGGAGGAGGAGGAGGAGGAGGAGGACGACGACGACAGGACGAGGACGAAGGCGAGGACGAGGAAGATGAGGAGCAGGAGGATGAGGAGGGTGAAGAAGAGGATCAGGAGGGCCCCCCCCCCTCACATCCTTCCCTCTTACCCCCCTCTCTGTAAACCATCCTCTCTTCCCTCTTCCGCACCCCCCCTCGCCCTCCCAGGAGAGAGAGAGAGAGAGAGAGAGAAGATAATAAGGACAAGGAGGTGGACGAGGAGTTAGCATACAGCTCCTGAGATATCAAGTTCAGCATCGACGCTGGTAAATGAGTGGTCTTGGACGGCCTAACCAGCATAATCCCGATTGATTATGTTTTACCATTCCGATTAATGTTGAGCTTAACATTGGCTAATCCACCTTCGTGGCCCTTCAATTGGGATGAACAGCTTTGAACACTTCTTACGAACACCTCACAGGAGTTAACTCTTAAGAGGATAAGGAGGAGGAAGAGGAGGAGGAGGAGGACGAGGAGGAGGAGGAGGAGGAGGAAGGGTGGGGAAGATGGCGACGATCTCCCAGAGGCCCCTCGAGACGCCCGCGATCCAGGCGTTCGAGGAGTGCTGTCGGACCTCGCACTGCACTGCTGCGGAGGCGTGCTGGCAGCCGCACGGGCTGGCCTCCGCCCCCCTCGCCGAGGACTCCGATGGGCCGAAAGTCCACGGGGGGGCCCCCCCGAGAGCGAGGCGGACCCATCCTCCTCGTCCTCCTCGTCCTCATCCTCGTCCTCCTCGTCCTCCTCCTCTCCTCATCCTCCTCCTCCTCGTCCTCCTCATCGTCCTCCTCGTCCTCCTCCTCTCCTCATCCTCCTCCTCCTCGTCCTCATCCTCGTCCTCCTCGTCCTCCTCGTCCTCCTCCTCTCCTCCTCCTCGTCCTCCTCGTCCTCCTCCTCCTCCTCCTCCTCCTCCTCCTCCTCCTCCTCATCCTCCTCGTCCTCCTCGTCCTCCTCCTCGTCCTCATCCTGCTCCTCCTCTCCTCCTCGTCCTCCTCTGGAGAGGGTGGAGGGTTGGGGACAAGCTAGGCGCGCTCGCGTCACATCTGACGTCCTAGCCCTCCATCCCATCCCTTACCATGGCGTAGGTCTCCTCTCTGTTCGCACAGTCGGATGGCGTAGCAGGGCATAGCATTGCATGGCATAGCATGGCATTGGTGATCAACGCGTCGCCTGACATAGCATGGCGTGGCGACGCCCCAAAGTGGGGGGCTTCTGCGACCCAACAAATCAACGAATCGACCCCGAATGTGTAATCATTTCCGATGGTTTTTATCGGGGGTCCATGTTATAGATCTGGGGGGCTATTTGGAAGGAACGAAAACCATGCCGTGCCATGGCGCTGGAAATGATGACGCCAGCGCTGCAGCGGGAGCACGATTCGAAACGAGCGGAAGCGCGGAAATGTGGCCAGCGCTGCAGCGGGAGCACGATTCGAAACGGGTGGTAGCCCGAAAATGGGGCCAGCGCTTCAGCGAGAGCAGCATTTTGAAAACAAACCCCGAGCGAAAACCCAATTTCTGGGAATCCGGTGTTTAAAGAAAAACAAACAGAACAGGACGCGGAGGGGGGGCGAACATTTCCCCGACGTCACCAGGGGAGGGAGGGAGGTTGTAATCATATTGTGTAATTGTGGAGTGTCCCCTGCACATGTGGATGAAGCGTTGCGCCTTGGAGGGGCTTGGCGCATTGATACTGGTGAGGTCGGTCAGAGCTCGATCTAGAGTGCAGTTGACTTGCTGGCACCCCTCGCCGCCCGAGGCTTCGGGGACTCGCGGGGCTCTCGAGATCTCTTGATGGGCAAGACAAGCATGTCGGGTAACTTTGCAGAGCCCCCTGCACGGTTGAGATGGCGGAGGAGGAGGAGGAGGAGGAGGAGGAGGAGGAGGAGGAGGAGGAGGAGGAGGAGGAGGAGGGGGGGGAGGCAGCGAGATGGCCCGGGGCTCCCTGCCTCCGCCCCCTCCCTCCCCATGTGCGCCCTCGGGGGCGGAGGGAGATGAGGAGGGAAGAAGCACACACAGACACGAGCAATCGTCGTTCCCCCGGGAAACTACGTAGGAGAATATGGGAGGTGGGGGGGAAGACGAAACACCGGGACACAGGAACAGATGGGGAAGCGTTGGACCTGTGTCTATCTGTCTGTGTGTCCCTGGGCCCCCTGTTGGGAGAGGGGGAGGGGACAAGCTGGGCCCGCTCTCACCTCACCTGACATCCGATCCCTCCCTCCCATCCCTTCCCACTGCGCTGATGTGTTCTCTACTCTATCCGCGGACGCGCGTCATAACCCCATTCGAAACAGGGGAGCCGCGTACATAGGAAGAGGAGGTGGTGGTGAGCAGGAGGATGAGCAGAAGGAAAAGGAAGGGGGGGATGTGGAAGGACGAGGACGGGGACTAGGTCGGGCCAGTTGGGCGTGTCCCTCTACAGGAGGAATATTCAAAATGTTTGGTTATCCTGGCGAAGGACAAGGCCATATGCAGTTGTGAGTAGCGCGTTCTGCGTGTCGCTGTCCGTGGAGCTTCCTGCATGGTCACGAAACGCGTGAGCGACGTGCCGCAATGGGCGGGGGCGACGCATGCGGGCGGTGCCACTGGGGCCTTCGGTGAGGTTCCCTATGGGCCACGAGACGCTGTACTGGGCGTGGCGGACGCATGCGGGCGGTGCCCTTCGCTGGAGCTCCCGATGGGACCACTAAACGCTGTACTGGGTGGGGGAGTCGCACGCGGGCGGTGCCACTGGGGTCTTTCTCTGGAGCTCCCTACGAGGCCACAAAACGCTGCACTGGGTAGTGGCCAACGCATGCGGGCGGTGCCAGTGGGGCCTTCGGTGGGGCCTCCTATGGGGCCACGAAGCGGGGGGGACGCATGCGGGCGGTGCCACTGGGGCCTTCGGTAGAGTCCCGTATGGGCCCACGCAGCGCTGCACTGGGTGGGGGGTCGCATGCGGGCGGACCACTGGAGCTCCTCACGTGGCCACGAAACGCTGTACCGGGTTGGGGGGGGGGTCGTGCGGGCGGTGCCATTGGGGCTGGGTAGAGCTCCCAATCAATGGGGCCGCGAAGTGGAATACTAGGCGGTGCGCATGCGGGCGGTGCCACTGGGGTTTTTCTGGAGCTCCCTATGTGGCCACGAAACGCTGTACTGGATGGTGACTGACGCATTCGGGCGGTCCCACTGGAACCATCGGTGGAGTTCCCTATGGGGCCACGAAGCGCTGTACTGGGTGGTGGCTGACGCACGCGGGCGGTGCCACTTGGACCTTCGGTGGAGCTCCATACGGGGCCACGAAACGCTGGACTGGGTGGGTGAATCGCAGGGAGGAAGGGCTGTGCTGGGTGGTGGTTGACGCATGCGGGCGGTCCCAGTGGAACCTTCTTCGGTGGAGCTCCCGATGGGGCCACGAAAAGTTGTACTGGGTGGGTGAAACGCAGGGAGGACAGGCTGTGCTGGGTGGTGGTTGACGCACGCGGGCGGTGACACTGGGACCTTCGGTGGAGCTCCCGATGGGGCCACGAAGCGCTGTACTGGGAAGGTGAAACGCAGGGAGGAAGGGCTGTGCTGGGTTGTGGCTGACGCATGCGGGCGGTGCCACTGGGACCTTCGGTGGAGCTCCCGATGGGGCCACGAAACGCTGTCTGGATGGGCGAAACGCCGGTGGGAAGGGCTGTGCTGGGTGGTGGTTGACGCACGCGTGTGGTCCCAATGGGACCTTCGGTGGAGCGCACTATGGGGCTACGAAATGTTGTACTGAGTGGGTGAAACGCAGGGAGGAAAGGCTGTGCTGCGTGGTGGTTGACGCACGCGGGCGGTACCACTGGGACCTTCGGTGGAGCTCCCTATGGGGCCACGAAACGTTGTATTGGGAAGGCGAAGCGCAGGGAGGAATGGCTGTGCTGGGTGGTGGTTGACGCATGCAGGCGGTCCCACTGGGATCTTCGGTGGAGCTCCCTATGGGGCCAGACAACGCTGTACTGGGTAGGTGAGTCGCAGGGAGGAAGGGCTGTGCCGGGTGGTGGTTGGCGCACTCGGGCGTTCCCAATGGGACCTTCGGTGGAGCCTATGGGGCCACGAAGCGTTGTATTGAGTGGGTGAGACGCAGGGAGGAAGGGCTGTGCCGGGTGGTGGTTGACGCGTGCGGGCGGTGCCATTGGTACTTTCGGTGGAGCTAATTGTGGGGCCACGAAACGCTGTATTGTGTGGGTGAAACGCAGGGAGGAAGGGCTGTGCTGGGTGGTGCTTGACGCTTGCGGGCGGTTGACGGGAGGAGGGAGGAGGGAGGGGACGAGGAAGGAGTTTCTCCAAAACGAAGACCCAACATCACAGGATGGTTGGGAAAAAATAGTACGGGGATGTGTTTTTTCTAGTTTCTTACTATGTCTTATGTGTCGTCCAAAATCTGCCTGTAGGGGGTCAGGCCCGACTTACGAATAGTATGCATGATGTGAGACTGTGGAGAGGAAGAAAGCGCCAGGCGGGGAGGTTGGAGGAGGCAGGGAGGGTTGACGAGGGGGGAGTTGTTGCGCACGGAGCAGGGTCCGCAGGCTTGAAGTTGACACCAACACCAATTTCGGCGGTGTGCCTCCACCGAGGGAAGAAGATCCCGATCTCGGCGATGGTGGTGATATTCTGGCTTCCAGGGTGGCCGAACTACTACCACCAACGCCGAAATCTAGGATCATCTTCCCCCTGTGGAGGCAACCCCCTGCGTTGGTGTTTGTGCTCGTTTCCAGGCCTCCAAAAGTTGGGCCACCCACGGGGGTGCGAACGTGACTACGCTTCGCGCGTCGCGGCCGGGGCCGCCGAGCTGGCCTTCTCCAGGGGCGGCGCGAAGGCGCGAAGAGAGCCGCGCGCCGCGCATCGCCGGGCGGCGTGCGCGGAGCTGGGAGGCGCCGGGAAGGCCAGTGACCCGAGCCAGGGATTTCTCCAGCACCGCTGCCTGGGGGAAACGATCTTCGGGGACCTCGGCAGGCGGCGGACATGGACATATTACTCGGACCGTGCGCGCACGTGAATTCATGAATTCATGATCGTTTGTGTGTAATCTTGAGGCTATCATTCCTTGCCGAATAAAAAATATTACTCGGACCCCCAGAGAGCCAAAAGGATTCCGCACCCACATCTGCTTCGGGCCCCGAGGAGTCAGGATGCCTCCACAGTTGCCCCCCGCCCCCCGGGGGTCCCAGGATGTCGTGGCCCCCTGGGCGGTGGACGCTCGAGTTTGGTCCACGCGGGGCTCCTCCCGCGAGTCCCGACTCGCTCCCCAGGGCCAGTCTGTCCCCCCGAGTCGCTCCTTGACTTCTTGACCACCCCGGGGCCCGGCGAGGGCCCTCTGGGAGCCGAAGAGGTCCAACAAAAATCTTCCGTCGCCATCTGTTTCGCAACCCGAGGGGGCCTAGGCACGGTCCCCACCCCCCTTCGGCCCGCTCCCTTGGTCGGTGGCTGGAACATGTACATTACCAGTGGCGGGCTGTCTTTTTGATCCCAGGACTGTCTCTTCACTTTTTGCGGGGTGGTGTGGTGTGTATATTTTTGTTCAATCCACTCCCTGGAAAAAAACAAAAGAAATTGTATACACCAGGGCCCCGTGTACACCAGGATCCGCTTTCCTGTGCGGAACGAAGCGTCGGTAATATTTGTGTGTATATATATAGAATCAGCTGTTCTCTATACACACATCTATATTTTTATATGTATGTGTATATATATATATATAGAGGGGCATGTACATATCTACACATATACATATACACATATATATATATTTATATCTATATATATATATATATACATACGTGGCCCCGCGTCGCAGCCGGCCTGAGGACGAGGCCCCGGCCGAGGCGGTGGAGCTGCGGGCGGGGTGCTCCTCGGAGACCTACGCCCCGGCGGACAGGGCGCCGCAGCGGCGGCTGGCGCCGCCGTGAGCGGCGGGCCCGGCAGTGCCACCCAGGCCCTTTGCGCGCTGTGACAAAATACGACGGTACCTCCTCCTCCTCCTCCTCCTCCTCCTCCTCCTCTTCCTTCTCCTCCTGGTCCTCCTCCTCCTCCGCCTCCTCCTCCTCCTCCTCCTCCGCCTCCTCCGCCTCCTCCTCCTCCTCCCTCCTCCTCCACCTTCTCCTCCTCCTCCTCATCCTCCTCCTCCTCCTCCTCCTCCTCCTCTCCTCCTCCTCCTCCTCCTCCTCCTCCTCCTCCTCCTCCCTCCTCCTCCTCCTCTCCTCCTCTCCTCCTCCTCCTCCTCCTCCTCCTCCTCCTCCTCCTCCTCCTCCTCCTCCTCCTCCTCCTCCTCCTCCTCCTCCTCCTCCTGCCTCCTCCTCCTCCTCCTCCCTCCTCCTCCTCCTCCTCCTCTCCTCCTCATCCTCCTCCTCCTCCTCCTCCTCCTCCTCCTCCTCCTCCTCCTCTTCCTCCTCCTCCTCCAGGTTTCCCGCCACTTTTAAGTCGGGCGTGTCCCTCTACAGGGGGGAAATCCAAGAATAGCAACAACAACAACAACAACAACAACAACAACAACAACAACAACAACAACAACAACAACAACAACAACAACAACAACAACAACAACAACAACAACAACAACAACAACAAAAAGATGGGGGACGATGTGTTCACTAGTTTGGTGCAGGTGTGTTGTTGTCTTTTTGCATCTTTCTCCCAAGATCCTCCTGTAGGGGACAGGCCTCGGGGCCGTCAAAAAAGAACGACTCGGGATGAAAAACCAGCCCCCGGGAAGGGGTCCAGGGTCCAGATTACGTCATGAGATGGCACGACAAGCACGACGTCGGGGGGGGGGGCTGCTTGCGAGGGGTCTGCCGCGAGAGCCGACGAAGGCCGCCGTGCCCGTCGTTCTTGTCGGTTCTCGGCGGCTGTCCAGCTGCGCCTCGCCGAGGGCTTCTCCGGAGGAGGGCGAGGACCAGAGTAAGCCCAAGAGTCATCAACGATGTTGGAATAAGCCCTCCCTCCAAGCTCCCTCGTCACAGGCCCCTACAGCGGCTCATTCCCGCTGAGGGAGCTGCCTCTGTGGAAAACAACCATTTGACGACCCCGAAGCATGCCAGAACGTTGCTCTCGGGATGCCAGCGCCAGGCGTGAAGACACCGTCCCCGGCGGCCGCCGGGCCGCTGGAGGCCCGAGCTCTGTGGCCCGAAAGCGGCGAGAGAGAGGATCGCGTCGGCAAGATCGGGCCGGCCGAAGGTCGGGGGCGGAAAAGAGGGGGGTGATGACTAGGGGGGGGGGGGGGATATCATGGCGGGGGGCATGATATTTCCCCAGATTTCATGGCGCCTCTTCTTATTTCATTATGTCCCTGGCCCCCCCGTTGGGCCGCGCACATGCCGCTGGTCATGATTTGCACCCCCCCCTCTTGGACACCCCCCTCTTTGCCGCTCCCGAGAAGGGGGGGGATTGGGGAAACTGGGGGGTTACGACAGCTGCTGCGTGCAGCTGGTTTCGGCCCCAGCGAGGGGCCCATTCCTCGATGCACAGCCGCCTCCTGCGTCGGGAGGCGCCGGGAAAATCACCTACGCGAGCTGATTCTCAACCCCGCCCCTTTGCTATCCCCCCCTTTCGCCTGGCCCGACAAGAAGTCTCGACGGGAGGCTTCGGGCATCGCCAAGGCCTCGATTCACCACTAAGGTCAGGTCGGCTACGGGCGGATCTTGGAAGCAAGCTGGAAATATGATCCAAACAAATATTTCAAAAGTCGGAGAACACTCGTCCCCAGACTCCTCCTGTAGAGGGACATGCATGCCCGATTTAATGCTAAGGCAGTCACCAGTTCCGCTTGGAGTCGAGGTTCCAGGATCCAAGCTCGCGGATTGGCGGCGAGCGAGGAGAGGAAGTGAGAAGGAGATGGCCTTCTCAGAAGGCCGCGGGACTTGAGAGAAGCCCTCGCGCCTTCTGAGAAGTTTTGATTGTCTCCCGGGAAGTCTTAGAAAACTTATCAGAGGCCCAGGGACTTCCGAGCCTTCTGAGAAGGCCCGCTGCTTCTTCTCACTTCCCCCCTGGGCTCGCCGCCGAGCGGAGGTTTGGGGGCGCGGGGGGCCGCTCTGGAAAGCTCTGGAGCGTTCTTTGGGGCCCGCTTCCTCGAGGACATGGGGTTGCCTCGAGGACGCGGCGACCCCGTCGTCGTCGCCGCCGTCGTCGTCGTCGTTCTTGTCGTCGTCGTCGTCGCCGCCGTCTTCGGCGTTGCCGTCGTCGTCGTCGTCGTCGTCATCTTCGCCGCCGCCGTCGTCATCGTCGCCGCCGCCGTCGTCGTCGTCGCCGCCGCCGTCGTCGTCGTCGTCGTCGCCGTCGTCGTCGTCGTCGTCGTCGTCGTCATCGTCGCCGTCGTCGTCGTCGTCGTCGCCGCCGCCGTCGTTGTCGTCGTCGTGGTCGTGGTCATCGTCGTCGTCGTCGTCGTAGCCCCCCTGCGCAGGAGGCGGCCTCCTCGGCGGAGCGCCTCCGGCATCTCGGGGGCCCTCCTCCGTCGAGGAGGCCACCTCGGAGGCCTCTGCCACGGAAGCCTCGGCCACGGAAGGGCCCCAGTGGCCGATCCCTTCCGAGAGGCCCCCGGCTTTCGCGCATAGATCAGGCGATCGCAAGCATGTAGGGCGACCGAATCTATACATATCCACTGCTCCCTGGCCAGGCACACCGTGAACCCAGCAGCAGTGTATACGCCACACCCTCCTGGCTGGGCCAGGAGGGCGTATACACAGCTCCTGGGTTCAGAGTGGGCCTGGCCAGGGAGCAGTGGATATGTATAGATTTCGTCGCCCGAGCATGGATCAAGGGGGCGTGGCTTAGCGACGGGTCCCGTTTTCATCAGAGATCGCGGATCTCCGCCGCCGAGCGAGGCGGCACCGGCCCCACGTTGGGGAGGGCACCTCCCCCGATCCATGGATTTTTGGCGACCGCGCGCCACATCCACGGATCGCTATAAGGCCATGCTTGCGCGCCCCCGACTCTCAGGGGAACGGACCACGACACGGACATCGAAGAAACTCGGAGGTCCGCGCGGAGGGCTCGGGCCGGCGGCGGAGCCCACCTCACCCCTGGCGCGCGGAGCGCGTCCGAGGCGGCGGCGGAGGCGCCGCCAGGGGGCGCCAGCGCCGATCGGAGGAGTCCGCGCGGTCCTCCGAGTTGTCCACGGCTTCGCCGAGCACGGTCCGCTGCTCGCAAAGTGCCCACCCGCAGACGTCCGAGAAGAGAACCATGCGTCTGCCTTGGCGTAATGCATCGTAGACACCCTGCAGCGGATCCACTGCTCGCAAAGTGCCTACCCGCAGACGTCCGAGAAGAGAAGCATGCGTCTGCCTCGGCCCAATGCGTCGCAGACACCCTGCAGCGGATCCAAGCCGTTTGCGAGTATGATGGGCCTGTTTTCCACCACCACTTCGAGTTGGAGGGGGGGAAGGAGGAGGAGGAGGAGGAGGAGGAGGAGGAGGAGGAGGAGGAGGACGACGACGACAAAGAGGAGGAGGAGGAAGAGGAGGATCCCCTCCCCCTCCAACTTATGCTGGTGGTGGTGGAAAACAGGCCCATCAGAGTAGCTATTGCGAATGCCCTACGCTCGGTGCCGCCGACCCTGAATGGCGACGACGACGACTACGAGCGCTCTCCGGGGCCTCTTGGTGGTAGTTTGGGGGCATCTTGGGAAGCTCTTGGGGACCGCTTGGAAGCATCGTGGGGGCATCTTTGGGCTTCCTGGGGTCTCTTGGGGGCTTCTTGGGGGGCTTCTTGGGGGGCTTCTTAGGGACCTCTGGGGGCATCCTGAGAGCTTCTCAGACCGAAGGCTCGAAATGTCCGTTCGGGTCCCCCGTCTGGGCTCCTCCTTGGAGCCATCTTTGGGGCCTCTTCGGCTGTCTTGGAGGCCTCTTGGTCGGTCTTGGGGCCCTCTTGGGTCGTATTGGGGCTCTCTTGGAGGCCTCTTGGGCCATTTTGGGGCGGTCTTGTGGGCTTCTTGGCCTGTCGTGGAGCGTCTGGAAGCTGACAAGGCGAGAATGCCGAAATCTTTCAAACATTTACGGGAAATCTATGATTCCTCTTGGAAATCCTTTGGGAAGCCTCTTGGGGCGTTTTTTTGAAACCTTTGGAGCCGTCTGAAGGCTACTTTGGCGACTTGGACCGATACTTTGGCGATTCGGGGCCCTCAAGGACCGTCTTGGGGGCATCTTGGGGCAGTTTTGCCGCGCTCTGCGGCTTCTCTTGGCCGCCCGACCGCCCGAGGGGGAGTCGCAGCTGCCCCGGGACCCCTCGCCAGGGATCACCCCCGGGATCCCCCCCGGGACCCCCCCCCCGAGGACCTCACCCCCCGGGGACCCCCCCCCTCGGCGGGGAAGGGATCGAAGGGAAGGGTCTTCCTGTCGACTCAACTACAGCGTTGCTCACTTTCGCTGTGGCTGGCGCGCTCGAGGGGGAGAACCCGGTGAAAGTGGGGGCAACGGCGACGGGCCTAGGGAAAAGGGGGGAAGCGAGCGGCGAAGGCAACGACGACGACGACAGCCATGGCGGTTGCGGAAAACAGGCCCATCTGAGCAGCTATCTTGCGAGCAGCGGAAAGCTCTTGTCTAATGTCAGGAGGAAAACACAGACACAATTAATCGCCGACCCCCCAGAAAATATAGGGAAAATATGGGAAGTGGGGGGGAAGGCAAAAACCCAGAAACAAACTTAGCCTGACGAAAGACCCAACCATACGTAGTTGTGAATACCGCAATTGTGGATATATTCTTCGGTGGCGCCCCCGGGCCACGACACGAGTGAGGGGTGTGCCGAAATGGAGGGGGGGAACCGCATGCGAGCGCAGCCACTGGGGCGTTCGGTGGAGCTCCCTATGGGGCCACGAAACGTGTGAGGGGTGTGCGAGAATGGGGGTTGGAACCGCATGCGAGCGCAGCCACTGGGGCGTTCGGTGGAGCTCCCTATGGAGCCACGAAGCGTGTGAGGG